TACATTTCTGCGATAATACCACATGTAGAACCGAGGACCTATTGAATAAAATTAGCAAAATCGTGACAGAAATTATTACTACGTTCAAAAATGCACTAAAACCTGGGGAAATAGGCGATATAGACGAAAGTATGATTCCATGGCGCGGACGTCTACGTTTTCGCCAATATATCAAAGGGAAACGTCATAAATACGGCATAAAAGTATACAAATTATGTTTACCAAGCGGTTACACGTATGATTTAGATATTTATGCCGGAAAAAGGATGAACGCTTCAATGCATGGACATGGGTATGATGTTTCAAAATTGATGAATGGCTTGTTATTTGAACACTGCGTTTTGTATACAGATAGTTTCTACTTAGGGATACCTCTAGCTCAATCGCTACTGCAAAAAGGAACATTTTTTTGTGGCACAATTTAGCCAAATCGGAAATTTTTACCAGTAGATAAAAAAAAAAACGTGGTGAAATTAAAAGTTTAGAAAATCATTGTGGCATAAAATTCATGAAATGGACTGATAAAAGAACAGTTTGTATGATAACAAGTTGCCCAAGTCATAATTATAAATTTATTAAAGGAAAATCTGCAACATACAAACCAGACCTTGTTTTTGATTATAATGATGCAAAAAAAGGAGTTGATTCGTCCGATCAAATGTCATCATATTATAGTAGTCTAAGAAAAACCATAAAATGGTAAAAGAAAATTATTATACAACTACTTTGCGGTACAGCAGTTGTAAATGCATATTATATACACAAGCAATGAAGTACTCGGAATATGAGTATATTAAAATGTAGAGAATTAATTATTGACAAATTATTAGCAGATGAAGAAATACCAGGGACGCAAAAAACCAGGAACAACAAATATTTTTTAGAAACCTATTTAGGCCCAGCGAAACACACCCGCAAACGCTGCAGAGAATGCTATAGGAAATTATCTGAAGAAGTGGGTGCCTCTATGGCTGCAAAAAAAAGCTAAACGTGTAACGACATTTTGTGGTCTTTGTGAAAATTAACCACCTTTGTGTTTACAATGTTTTAAGGAAACTCATGAAAATAAATAATGTTTTTAATGTAATGAATTGAATAAATTTGTTGACTAAATGATCAATTTTTTAATTGGAATGAATAATTTTAATTAATATATATTTTTATGTTAAAGCCATTTAAATTTAAAGAATTGTATTTATTCAATCCATTTGCAACTTTTTTCTTTTTATTAACAAAAAAGACACAAAAATGGATTGCTTCGTTTGTACCACCAGTGGTATGTGCCGCCCAATGGGACAATTGTGTATGTACCACTAGTGGTACATGCCGGCGGGAACATGTTAATGTTGCAGCGCATTTCAAAATCAGGTTGGAACAAGTGTTTTTTCCTAAAACCAATAAAGAAAATGTGTTGTTACTAGATTCATGGAGTGGATATTGTTAACAAGATGTACATAATACAAAACCTATAGGTAAAGAAATTATAATTAAGACTATACCGAAAGGCACAACTGGACAAATCCAGCCTCTCGATGTTTATGGATTCAGGGTATGGAAGAATTACGTTAGACGATTTTCTGACGATATACTGTTGCATGATTACGACGTTAATCTTCACTTAAGAACTAATATTATTAAATTACGATCTCTTGTGCATAATCAGTTATCTTTGCCAAGATATAAAATCCTATTCCGGTACCCTTGGTGTAAAAGTGGATATGCAGAAGATAGATTAGGAGATTGTGTGGAACGACGGCGGCCCGGGCCTCGCCGCGCGCGACAGAACCGCATAAGCGGCCCAAAATCCTGAACTACTTCAGGGCCGCATGGGCGAACCCTAAGGCGTACAGCCCTTTAAGGTCGTAGCATTATCCATCCGAACATCCTCCGGGTCTGAATCGCCCAATCCCATACAAAACCCTTATTTCCCCTATCATTCCATATTCTTTCCCGTAATTATCCCCTACGATATCCCCTAATAAGCGTTCGGGCGTTCGCTGGTGACGCTCGCGCGCAACTTATTTGCTCTAACGATATGTAGGGCGGGTCGGCAGCTACCCCTTTCTCTTCGAGGACGCGATTTCTCTTTAATGTGGGGGAGCCACCGATCCACCACATTACACTCTATACGTGTCTTTATACAATTAGGGGTAGTTTACCCACAGGCAAGGATGAATGCCGATGAGAACATTATATGCCAAGCAAGTTTTGACGTATATTAAATTTATAACAAGTTTTACTCAACACATTATGCTTTAAACTAACAAGGGAACATTCCCAAGTGTCCGCCTCCGATCTTATTGAGTTTCATATATGTTGAAGAACACAAAAATCTAAGAGACACGTGTTTTTATTATATCTGCAATGGTCCACAATTAAGGGGTGAAACAACCCCCCAAAGTTTAACGAAAAATCGGTTTCTTTAATATTTTTCGTAGGAGCAGTAGAGGGATTTCAACGAAACTTTGCATAAACCTATTCTGTATAAGGACGGTGACAACACAATATTGTTCAGCAATGTTGCACCCCCTCAAGGGAGTGAACTACCCTTCAGGTGACATTTTTTTTGTAATATACTAATGGATATTACAAAAACAAGGAATAAACAAGCACTCCTACTTAAGTTCCACTTACGCGAAGTGATTGGTCGTAAAAAATTACGAAATACGTGTTTTTTGCTTTTTGCCAATAAACATTTACACATTGGTTNTTGAAACTGGTGTCGAAAGAAACTACAAATAATTCTAATATAGATAGAAGGAAAGTATTGAGTTACTAATACACCTAGCTGGATGTTTTAATGTCAAAACTGGTATCGAAAGAAAATTAAAACTGGTGTCGAAAGAAACTACAAATTATTATAATACAGATTGAATGAAAGTGTCGAGTTACTAATACACTAAACGGAAGTGTTAATGTTAAAACTGGTATCAGAAGAAAATTGAATTATTATATTGTAGAATTAATTTTCGGGTCGGGAAGGCATGAGAGACAAACACGCGACTTGTTGGATTGGTCGGTAAAAGTTAATTTATTATTAGCACATGGTGCTCAGCTCTGAGGTTCGACACCGACTACTGCTTGAAATCGAAAGACAGTTAGGCGATGGGACACACAGTCATACACACTTGTACATTAGGTGAGCTACGGTCAGGTGTAAATAAGGCATAGGACGAACAAGTGAAGAGAGAGAGATAGCTCGAACTCCTGTATCCTACACTCGGCCATCCGCTCCTGCATCTGCCCTCAGATGCTGTCTTCCTCCCCAGCTGAAGATTCGTCACTACGGGATGATACAATCCATGGCTTAATATGTTCAGCCGTCGTCACAGTTTTTTGAGGACCTTCGCCCTCACCTATCTTAATCACCGTATACCGATCTTTGGGCAGTACTTTAATAATACGATATGGCCCCAGAAACTTTATAGCAAGTTTTAAACCCGGCTTCATTTGGGTCCTCTTAATAGCCACCAGGTCATCTTCGCGGTACTTCTGTGCTCTTTTCCTCGACGCGTTATATGTTTTCTTATTCTCCTGCTGAATTTTTAATATATTCTTCTTCGCTTGCTCTCTCAATTCATCCCGGGCCTCACTAAACATACGGGACAACTCACAATCTATTATTTCCTGGATGTCGGGACAACTTTTCATCCTCATGTGCGTGCCAAATAGTAATTGGAATGGCGACATCCCGATACTTCGACTATACGTTGCATTCAAATATTGTTGTGCCGCTCCAAGATGTTTATACCATTCCGCGGGTTTAGGCGCCGCCAACTTAGTAAGAAGAGGTATTAATGTGCGATTAACGCGCTCTACCTGCCCATTCGCTCTAGGAACGCCGGTAGTGATGCGCACATGTTAAATATTCTCGGCCTTACAATAATTTTCAAAATCATTAAATGTAAACGCAGATCCCCGATCCGATATGATTTTCGAGGGATTCCCAAAAATAAGAGCTTGCCTTTTCAATCGTTCCAACACCTCCGCCGTGTTAGTTGTTTTTGTAGCGTAAAGCCACACAAATTTAGAGAATGCATCCACAACAACGAAAATGTGACAGTAACTTTTCTTCGTGGAAAATAGGGGTCCAAGATGGTCGATGTGGTATACACATAAAAGGGGGTTTCACCCTTATCAATCGGATTCAACAGACCTTCTTGTTTGCCGTGTTTCCTTTCCGCCAAAATACAAGGTACGTAATTGCGAATTACCTTTTCTACCCTCTCGCGCATACCCCGGAACCAATAATCCCTTTTCAAAAGAGTCAATGTTTTCCCAACAGCAAAGTGCCCGTTCTCGTGTGCACGTCTGACCACTTGAGATTGCATAGGTCTCGGAACAACCAAACACAGCTCATTATCCTCGCAGACTCTGTACAGCAAATCTCCTTTTATGACAAATTCTTGCGATAGCGTAGAGTCAGTACTTCGAAGAACTTCCGCAAATCGGCATCAGCTCGTTGGGCCGTCCTCAAGCGCACGACGAGGCTTTCATCACCTTCGTCTATCAAGAAACAAGAAGGGAGAGGATTCCGGCTCAGAGCATCAACGTGTTGCATGTTTTTACCGGGCCGATGTTCAATTGTATAGTTAAATTCCTCTAAAAGGAGGACCCATCGAGCGACTCGCACGCAAAGATCCTTCTTCTGCATTGTCATTACAAACGCCTGACAATCGGTAACTATCTTAAATGATATTCCTATCAAATAAACTCGAAACTTCTTTAACGATTTGATTATTGCCAAGACCTCAAGCTCGTAGCTAGTATATCGCTTCTCAGCTGGCGTTGCTTTTCCACTCGCGAAATACACAGGATGAAAAGTTCTGTCCTCACTGTTACGTTGCAGCAAAATGGCACCGTATCCATACATACAGGCATCGGTGTGTAACTCGGTCTCCGCTTTTGGATTATATAATTGCAATATCGGACTCTCACTCAACATTAATTTCAAACGTCTAAACGCCTCTTCCTCTTTTGCACCCCAAGAAAATTGCACATCAGCCTTCAGCAAATTTGACAACGGACGCGCAATCATCGAGTACCCAGGAATAAATTTTCGAAAATAACCCGTAAGCCCTAAAAAGCTTTGCACCTGCTTTTACATTTATCGGCCTTGGAAATTCCATGACAGCCTTAGTCTTATATTCCGACGGACGAATGGATCCGTTTTCCACGATGTACCCTAAATACTCCACCTTTGATTGTAAGAGACGACATTTTTTCCAATTAATCAATAGTCCATATTGTTCGGCCGTAGCTAATACCATTTCTAGCGCCTTAAGGCCACTAAGGCAGTCTGCGGACGGAACAACAAGGTCGTCCATGTAAACCAAAACAATCTTAGCGGTAATCAACTCGCGAAAAACAGAGTTAATATACCTCTGAAATACGGATGGAGAGTTGCACAAGCCGAATGGTACTTTGAGAAACTCATATTGCCCATCAGGGACAACAAAAGCCGTATATTTACGACTATCCTTATCCACGGTTACATGGAAAAATCCATTTTTCAAGTCTAATGTACTGAATACTTTAGCACCTTGCAACGAATCCAAATGGTCTTCAATCAATGGGAGGGGATAACGATCCTTTACTATCTTTCTGTTTACCATTCGATAATCTACGCACACTCTCTCCGTACCGTTCTTTTTCTTTACCGTCACTATCGGACTCGCATAGTCGGACAGGGATGGTCTTACGATTCCTTCTTTCATCCACTCCGCGATTTGTTTATTCACATTCTCTCTCTGCGATGCCGACAGTCTTCGCGGTCGTTGAAATACGGGCTCATCATCCTTTAAAACTAACGTCATTTTAACTTCGGTCTCGCGCGCTTTCATCGGCTTGTATGAATCCACGAGTTCCAGTAGACGCTGTCGGTATTCTCTATTCGCCACGTGGGATACATCAACCCGATCTACCTCGCGGACGTCGTCAATTAAAAATATTTGAGGTAATTCACCCTCCGGTGGACTATTACATATCGGCGCCGAGATCGTGGCCTTTCCTTCATTAATACTAACGTTTACAGTATTTAAAAAGTCTGATCCTATTAATAATTGATAATTCATCAACTCGTCAGGAATTACATGTATCGCTATAGGGTAGACACCCTCATCAACCATCAGAGTCTCGTAAAATGTACCTAAAGTTCTGTTTTCCACTAGGCCTACGCCACCAAATGGTACGCTTTCGTCCCGTAATTGCGGAGCACCGATTCGCTTATACTGGTCCATCCTCATCAAACTAATATCGCTATCCGTGTCAAGTAATGCCTTAACACAATGCGGTCCTATCTTAACGTCCTTAAAGGTCTTCCCGCGCGGTGATTGTTTGTTATCCGACAGGAAACGGATCGTGTTCGCTTCTTTCGTCGGATCTGCATCCCTCGAACACCTTGATGCCACGTGTCCATGCTCATGACGACGAAAACACCTCGTGCCCTTTTTCTTAGCAGGACACCTCGCAGCTACGTGGCCCACCTGTAAACAGTTATAACAGTGCCTACCGTCGCGCTGCACAAACGATTCACGTGTCTTCGCAGCGGCGGCCCTACTATCCGTTTTCGGGGTAAACGAAGTTGCGGGCGACGTCTTAGGGCGGAGTACGATTTTCTCAAACGATTGGAGTAATGCCGCTGTTGAGTCAAAACGCTGCATCCGAGCTTGATCTCTCAGAGCCGGGTCCGGCACACCATCGATGACGTAATCGATGAGCTCGATTTCCTCAATAGGAACACGATTTGCCAAAATAATCTTGTCGTGAAGGTAATCACCAAAAACCTCGCCTCTTTTCCAATGCCGCTCCTCAAATAGCTTTCTGGCTGCTACTCTGTTGATACGATGGAAAAACATCTTTCTCATTTCGGCGAGAAGGTCATTGGTTGTCATTTCAAGATGCCCAGCTTTGGAATGAAACCATTCAAATGCCCTTCCCTTCAAACGAGAGCCAATGAGGATCTTCGTCATCGGATCGGCGAGACGGTACGTTGATCTGAGAAGCTGAACTTGCTTCTCCCATCTCTCGTACGAATCGCTACTTCCGTCAAAATTATTCAGCAGCTCAGCGATAGTACTCACGCCGATTCGTGATGGCGCATCACGTTGCAACGAATGTCCATACTCTGAGACATCCACCGTCGTTCCCCGTTGTAGGAACTCAATTTCCTTTCGAGCAAGTGCGAGCTCGCGCTCGGCCAGCTCCTTCTCCTTTCTGAACAGCTCGATCTCACGCCATGACGCTGCTCGGCCATCATGGCGATCGTCCACTCCGCGGCGATCGCCATCATGGCGTTCGTCTCCTCTTCGACGATTTCGTGTCTCCTCGAAATCAACTTCGTCACGTGACTCCAACCGTTGCTCCTCACGGTCGCCATCTTGGATCTCTTCACGTGGACCGTTCATCCAAGCGCCCGATGGATCCGGCATCAACAACCGATTAATTAATTCTGCCTTCGTCCCACTCGTACTCTGTCCGGTTGCCTTCAATTTCGCCTTTAACTCAGGGACCGTAAAATCGCGAGCGTCTTTCATTACTTCACTCATCATGTCGCTGAGACCTCGTGGCTCGTCTCCATTAAATTTAAAATCATCAGCGAGTGTGACCGTCTATTGCACCGATTCGTGTCTCTGGAATCGTGCAATCACTCTCTTAGCACACTCACAATACGCACTGGGTCACACGTCTCGACCACCGGCGTTCGTCTTTTCACATCGAGTCACAAAATCGCTTACCGTCTCGCTTACTGTCCAATATGGCCTCACGTTCTAACGGCCATTATCATTATATCCAACACGCGGAATATTCGTCTCTATTCGCATGCACTTATGCGATCCCGGACGAGCCCCCAATTTTGTAGAATTAATTTTCGGGTCGGGAAGGCATGAGAGACAAACACGCGACTTGTTGGATTGGTCGGTAAAAGTTAATTTATTATTAGCACATGGTGCTCAGCTCTGAGGTTCGACACCGACTACTGCTTGAAATCGAAAGACGGTTAGGCGATGGGACACACAGTCATACACACTTGTACATTAGGTGAGCTACGGTCAGGTGTAAATAAGGCAGAGGACGAACAAGTGAAGAGAGAGAGGTAGCTCGAACTCCTGTATCCTACAATATATAGTGTAAAGGTAAAAGAGGAGTCGAGTATAATCTGATATCATTTGTTATCAGTTTGGTATCAGTTTGGAAGGATCG